AGCAGTGGGACTATTTATAGGCTATATATTGTATCATTATTACAAAAACTTGAAATATCTGAATGGTATCAACGCGCGCATTGTAAACGCGACGTTTCGGATTCAAATCTCTATCAATCTTGAAGGTATGCTTAAAAAAAGTCATATACAGAGTTGTTACATTAAAAAAATAACACTAAGTTTGAAATAAAACCTCGATAAAAAGCAAATATATCGTCGGTTGAAAGGTAAAACCACATGAGTGACATTTACCACAAAAAATGTAATTTATATAGCTATGATAAGAAAATCACTATCTTTCTTCACGTGAAACTCAATAACAAAAAACCTATAAACTTAATAAGAGTTTTATCTGCAGAAAGATGCTGAATTTCTTACAACTGGTCATTGACCCATGGTAGGTCAATGCAACTGGTACATAATTTGAAGATTTTTTGTAGAAAATATTACTTTTGTGGTTTTACCTTTAAGCAGACAGTACACCAGAAAGTTTAAAATATCAATTGCAAACATATTAACTTAAACAACTACGTATCGATTTACATGAACTTAATGCAGAAGCTTAAAAAATGATCCCTCTCGAGCATCGTTACAATGACGTTGTTTTTAATTTTATGTTATCTAAATATGATTGAGTTCCTAAAAATTTAAACAAACAACAACCATTTTTAACAGTTATTTCATACAAATGGCGTATAAAATGCTAATAAAAATTTATTAATGTAGTGACCTGAAGACCAAAGAATCGCCGTAGTTTTTATTCGTATAGTCTTCTCTCCAGTAACGCAGCTCAGACTTGTAAGTTATTATTTATATGCATTGGAATTGTTACATGCAAACGTTTCAAAGTTCCTAATTATATAAAGAGAAAAAAACGTATTATATAGCTACTACTACAAGCGCCATCTCTTGTGATCTACAATATCATCTAACAGAATGAACGTGGAAAGTAAAGCAACAGAACGTGCGTAGAATTAAATTTTCATACGAAGTTCGAAACATCAGCACTTTAGTTAATACACTGCAAAATAAACAGATGGCGCTGACCTACATTAAAAAGAAAACCGGAAACATTCGACAAATTTTTTAATCAACCGTCGTCGGTCAGTAATAGGTTTGATATTTATTCATTGCTTAATAATTAACTTCCTAATTGTAATTAATTGTTCAATTGCATTATACACTCATTATGATGCAGTAAATTATTATTAGACGGAATTCTACAATTACCACTAATTCAAAATTTATCATTTTGGAAAGTGAATACGGGCATATTATATCATGGTACTGGTAGTACATATCTGCTTAGCAGTATTTGGAAAAACTTACTTTAGTTTATAAAATACGATTCTACTCATCTGTAAGTGTATTCGTATTATATTGGTAATATAAATAAATACAATCCACGCCAGTTGTACCAGTGATGGCACTAGCTAATGATACAAGTGCACTCTAGTACTTTTATAAGAACTCTTGAAATCATGCTATTATTGTTATGCAAACACCTAGAGACTCTTCAGTTTGTATGTCTCATTTAAGAGGTAGACTTATTACTCTATATTATATATATATATACATATATTTGATAAATACATGACTTATACATGTATACGAGGGTAGTTTGATAAATGCATGAGTTTAAGGTTAAATAAAAACTTTTTTCGGAATTCATTTTTATTTCTTAAATTTAGAACTCCGTACTAAGCAACTGATGCTACTTTTATAAAATTAACGGAAAAAAAAGGAAAAAATTAATAAAAAAGTTGGTGAGATCAATATATTTTTTGAAAATGGAGAAATCGAACTTTCGAGTACTCCGTTTCTCAAAAGCAAACACAACATCAAAACTGGTTGAATTATGATAATAAAATTATGATACGAACTTTTGCCACACCTCCAGTATTCACCAGATTTGGCCCCATTTGACTTTTCATCTGATTTTTTTATCGATTTTCATCTAATGAGGAAGTGATAGCTGACACAGAGGCTTATTTTTCAGTTTGACAAAAAATTTTGATGAGTTGAAGAAGTTAGGATACCGCTGGTCAAGGTGTATAGAATTAAAAAAAAATACGTAAAAATCTAAACCTCAATTAAAAAAACAAAGTTTTTTCTTCTCAAAATCACGGACTTATGAAACCCACGGTCGTATGTATACTATATATCGTTTATTTTAAATTTAAAAATTAACATTAATAAGTCCCAATACAAATATAGCAAGATCCTCAAACAATCAAAAATATATATGTACAAGTATTTTAAATAACAATACATAGTGTTCTTTTTATTATATATTATTTAATCTATGTCAAAAATTCCATATTAAAATTCTGAGTAAATCGATCGTGGATTATTGAATAATTCAACCTGTTGTTTCGTGAGCGCTGATGATCAGTTGCTAGATTATATCCGAAAGAAATACCAGTTTTTTGTTGACCGACTTTATTAGAGAGGCACCAAAACAAAAAAAAAGGGATCCTTTGGTTGAATATTGTCATATAATGTGCAAGTTAAGGAAATATACTAAATACAGGACGTAACAAAAGGTTAGTATTTTAGGATATAAAACAAAATTTCAGATAGACTCTTGACTTAAGTCTTAAATAAAAAATAAAAAAAACGAATTTTTTATATATTCTCATTTGGCTTATGACTACACCTTTCTTCTACACCATGTATATTCGTTATAATAGCATCTTCATAACGTAAAGGTCGATACACACGTGTACAGGCAATCGAATTTCATGCGATAACATAAGGCTCTCGTTACCTTAATGGGTTTACTTTCACTGATCTATGTTTACATACTTTTATATAACTCTTCAGACGTACATTATACAAATTTATGTGGTCTTAGTTCTCTTAGAGCGGTTTGGAGGTTATGATTGTGAATCAAAATTCCCCTTGCGATTGCCGCAGAAATCAAGTATTGTACAAATTTAAAAGAAGGACAGCAGTATGGACTACATGGGCTTGTAGTTTGTAATATAAAATCAAATAAATAAAGATATTGTTAAACAGGATTGCAAACTCCTTCAAGGGGCAGAACTATGTCCTAAATTTAAAATCGCATGTACTATGTCGTTGATGTCTTCTATATGGTAGCAAATGCAGCACGATCGCCTAGTTAAAGGTTAACTAGAACACTTATATCAAAATATTTTTGTGTGGCAGCTTCCAAGACTATCTCTAAATCCCGAACAAATACGGACTAAGAGACATTCTCTTTAATTGATCCCATTACGTTCAAAGATCGTCGAACTTGTACGAATAAATTCGTGCTTAATACTTACATAACAGAATTCGGAAGTGAATGCGCGTCGCACAAAAGTCTATGTGTCCCTTGGACCGTGAAGCTATTGAATAATTTCATCGGTAGTTAAACAGACAAAACAAAACACTACCAAGTTACGTACGGGGGACTACTTGGTACACAAAGTAGAGCAACTGTTGATAAAAAAAAATCTTTTGAATTTGACAAGCGTCTTGATTTCCTGCATTCATTTCAACTGGCACACTTTTACAACCGTAATATTTTCTAAACCCCAAATTTCGGAGCTATTCGAGTTTTACGGAAATTGACGATTGGAGTGTTAACATATTTCATTCTAGTGTATTATTTAATGTTACGAATTGGGCCAGTGAGGTGGAACATGGCCTTAACCCTCTTCTTAGCAGTAGGTTGTAAAAGTGGGTTGATGATTTCCTCGCTCATGGCTACTGCAATTACATTTTACGTTAGCCGTTTAAAAATAAGATTAATTCCGTTATGTTTACAAGTTGTAATACAATCATATACATATCGGTATCAGAACACGTATTTAACCATTCAATTAAAATTTTACCTTAACCATATAGATCAAGAGATAAAATTTGCAGTGACGTCTTACCTGATCAAATAGACCCTCAGTAATGTTTACATTCGTCAATTTAAAACAGGATTGATTCCAATGCTCAGGATGTCGCAAATAACATTGTATTCGTTATTTAGTATTTAAAGTTTTTAATCTTGTTCCAAATAAATAAATAATGTTTTAAAAGGTAACTTTTTAAAAAAAATTTAATACAACGTAAAAACAAAAATACCCGTTTTGCTCAAATCCCAATGAAAAACAAGCATCATAACAATTTTATACAGGACATATTTATATTGTAAGTTAATTTTATGATTCATTAAATAGTGAAATATATTTTTACTCACAAAATTAAAACCAAAACGTAAAGTTTGTCCGTTTCCAATTTCTACACTTTCTTGCAAGTGAAATTGGCAATTCACTGCAGTATGTATTATGCGGTGCTAACAACATAATACATGTAGTTGGCGACAGACGCACCATTCAAGCATAATTATCGTTTTTGAAAACCAATCGTACTTTTTCAACAGCATAGACAAATTTGTAGTACTACACCAATGGAGATATATTTTCATGAAGTTATTTCTACGATGGTGACTACGGGACAAAGCGCTGTCTACTTCGTCATTGTTATGTGCTTATATATCGCCATATATGCAAGTCTCATTAATGCAGAAGAGTCCGTGTAGGTTTTGGTATAAAAACGGCAATATTCTCACAAAAAATATTTATTACAAATACATCAACAGTTACCTTTATTATTAACCTAAAAATAATAAATAGCTTCCTTATATACAAAATAGTATTTACAGATATTCACGGTGACACATCAATACTAATGGGCAATTTCTCTAGTATGGAAACGAGTTACAGATCAAAATGCTATAAACATTCAAACCACATAATTACAGACGAGTTGCCGAAAAGAAAGCAAGCACTCTCGCAAGTATCCAAAACACGTACACCTACTGCTGTCGTCGAACGACCGGACCGCCGCGCCCGCAACGGTTGCCATCAGTCCGCACACGACTAATTAGCTGAACGCGTAAATTAATACCACCCACTGCACTACTTTCGCTGACACTGTGCCTAGACCACATGTACTGAATTTGCAGTACATCTATGGAAACTGCAAGGGATGCCCAAGTTTTTTACGCCTTTCTTCCTCTTTTCATACACGTCAGCAAAAGATTCAGGAAGTAACAAACTATGTTTTCGAAAACTATTCTTCACAATTACAATTTCTAATATTTACACATACGGTCATCCTAATTATTTGTACTTTAATAATGATGCTTTAATGAACTCTCGGTTTAATTTCCTCGCTGTATTTTATGGTATTATACACAGTCTCACTGTGGGCTCCGTGAACGTCAGATCCATGAGATGGAGAACCGTAATGGGAGCTGCGGTGGCTAAAATTGTATTTGGGCCTCGACGTATGTGAACTTAGAGAGCTATGGCTTGACTTTGGAGCTTTGTATGAAGAACTTCCTTCACCAAATTTGTTAGGAGAAGAGTATTTCACGTAATATTGAGGACTATGAGAAGAAGCAGCGTGAGCGGCTACCGAAGGTCCTGCAGAATGCGAAGATGGGAAACCGTATGTGGTACCTGGTGGCGAGTGGCTTCCGGAAAAGGAAGCCGCATTTTGTAAAGATGATCCAAAACCTTCGGATTTAGAGGGCAGGTACGAAGCTGATATAAATTTACTTGAACCACTGCCAAAACTACCTGGAGATCCTCCGAAACTAGCTCCGTGACCCCCCAATGAAAGACTATGACCATGGCTACCAGACAAAGAGTGAGAACCAAATGATGGTGCAGCATAAGCTCCGGATAAACTTGAAAGATCGTGGTCGCTCTGGGAACCAAGATATGTAGAGGGCTTAAATGAAGCTTTCGCCGGCTGAACGTAACCGCCGTTAAAACCTTTCAAAGACCCACCAAAAGAATGCCCAGAGCCACCCAAAGCTCCACTGATTAAATGCCCTGAACCGCCAAGGGAGTGACCATGATTACCAGAGAGGCCACCGTAAGCATGTCCAGTTCCTCCAAGTGACAACCCACCCAAAGAATGTCCGGAATTGGCAAGAGCTAGAGCAGAAGCATCGGCGAAAGAAGGACCTGAGCTACCTCCGCCAAGAACATGGCTGTGGCTTCCGGCGAAGTTAGAGTCTGCTGGGTTAAACAACACAGGCCCGGTAGAGCTGTATGAACCTAGTCCTTTAGTACCGACAGCATAAGCAGGTACGCTTGACTGAACTTGGAGTGACTGTTCGGGAGCACTATATTGCTGCAGTTTAGGTGATCCATAAGTAAATTGAGGAAGAGATATATCCTGACCGCCATGAGTTGCATCGCCTTGGAAGGGAGAAAGGCTAAGTGCTCCAGAATTGAGGCTTTCAGATAGCTGACTCATAAGTTGCTGTAGATCATTAGAGACGAACCCATGGGATGGTTGCAGTGTTAGTGGTGCAAGTTGGATAGTACTGTGTCCACTAGGCTGTAGACCCTCCGCAGCGTGTAGTTGATGTCCGGCGCCGGAGTTCGGCGCATAGGCGTAGGTAGGTTTTCCTCCGCCGACACTGTATCCAGCACCAATACTGATTGCATTCGTGCCCTGTTCGTGCCCGAAAGAAGGCGCCTGATAGCTATGTGATGTCCCAGCTGCCGGGTAAGCTATACCCGCTTCCCGTTTGTCTTTAGGGTCTACCATATGCTGTCTTATTTTGAGAGCCCATGATATGCTCAAAAGAGTAACGAACACCACCTGAAATTAAGAAAAATAAGTTTTATTAGTTAGTCATAAAATCACATCCTATAATAAAAACATTACATTGCGCAAAGTTAACAGGAACAAAACTAAAACGAGTTTAATAAAAACGAAACGGTTGCGGTTACATGCCAAGATTATGGCGACCCGCATGACACTGTTCAGATTAAAAGCTACATATAAATTTATTTTCACTTTTACCACTTTTACTTCAAATGCGCCTATGTTCCATGTGCGCATAGTATAATTTGTCTGATTAATATCATTTCTAGATTTTAGATAGAGTGCACTGTTAATTTAATAATCTCTTTCACGTAGCAGCACGATAACTGACAGTCTATACACACAATAACATATTTATTTTAGATAAATTGTATTACTTTCAAATTACTATTTTAGAATCCGGAAGAAATTTAAAACACTACATTTTCAAAGAATGCACCTGATTAATACTTCACAAAACACAAACTTACCGTGAATTTCATTTTGGAAGCTTGTTTAGGACGTTGATAACGTTGTTAAAACTAAATCACTGCACTTATAATAGGCACTACACAAAGATCTATAACACGCTGATCGGACGGCTGTATTGTGCAGCCGCCGAATTTGTAATGTGATGTCGCTGGGGTTCCACACAATTTATAAGTGAGTGGTGGCACGCACCCGCGGCTTATACTAGACGTTCGATCGGCCAGCCAGCGCAATGCGACGGGGCACTCAGGAGGGTAAAAGTGTACCAGAGGACCCTTTCACTGCTGAAAGAATGGGAGCGATCCATCGAGCTTCCGAGTCCAACAATGAAGTAGAAGTCCGGAAGTTACGTCGTCGATGATCACAGTTTGGTGCGCTTTTCGATGTCCCCTTGACGAGTAACAGGCGATGTGCCACGTTAAGTTGCATGACTCCCATAACTGTATCACTTTATTTTAAAAACCTGTATGATACAATAATTTACAAATACTACTACACATTTATAGCTATCGTAATTTTTTTGTTGGCGCGCGTTGAGGAGTGAGGGATTTCCTTGGGACTTGTAACTGGTTGGGTGAACTTTACATTTATATTTATACTTCAGAAGATAATTTTCTTTTCATTTAGGGAGCAAGGTAGTTGATAGGATCATAACGATTCGTGTCATTAAATATCTCAGAACAAACTCAAATATTTGCTGCGAAGGTTCAAAAAAGTCAGTTGTTTATGGCGGCCATATTAGAAATAGAAATCCATATTAGAAAATTGTTGACTCTGATAATTCTATCAGTTATAAAAGTAGTTAAGGACTTTGGTCAGATTAATGACCAAAGTCCTTAACTACTTTTATTTGATAGCCATGTGATTCATCTCCGACGTTTTGGCTGAAGAAGCTGCCCTTCTTTTTTCGATACCAATGAAATTTTCCATATTTATCAAAATTTTCGTATATGATCGCGAATACATGGGACAGATAATTTTTTCGAGTTTTGAGAGTCCATTAAGGGAAGTTTATATTATTGCACAGAAAACAAAATATCATTAAAATGACATCGCCTGTAGAAGGAAGGAAGAACGTATATACAAACAAGCCATGTGTATGTGCATGTGATGTATCAGCAGTTTGTACAGGTTGTGAATCAATGAACGTAAACATTATGTCTTATTATATATATTGCATTGCAAACGAAATCACCGATTGAGGCACTGCGGCTAGTGCGACAATGTATGGGACAAACGCACGCACAGAATTCGAAACATTCACTTGCACTTTCATTCAAATGATGTCATTTGTACGCACCGTGAGATTTTGAACCCAAACACGTAATTTGAATCGTTTACATGGTTCATGTGAAGCTTTTAATAAAATAAAGTTTACAACCGGAGTTATTGCGTCGTACAATAGTAAAGCTGTTCATGTAACAGGTACCTTACATGGGGGTTTGTTTACGAACACTAGAAAATAATTTACATAAGAATATTGTTCGACTGCACTATAGTAAATATTATTGATATTAATAAAGATTGACTGATTTTTCGAACTTTGCTAACTTTTACTTGTTCGAATCATGCAAATTATAACAAACAAGGAAATCGTTCCTTCTTAATCCTTAATTATGAAAAAAAAACTTCAAAAATTTGCTCTGCCGCTTTCATTGTGTTTGTTACATCTATTTTCAAGTTTTATTGAAATCGATTAACGAAAAGTGGGTGAAATCGAGTAAACCGGATTCATTCCCCAATTTGCCAGCCTTAGAGGTGGGATATTTTCTTCATCATTTAAATGAGACCACTACTGAGGTACTCCCCTTTCCAACAAATAAAGAATTATCGAAATCGGTTCACAAATATCGGAAAAACTGGATAACATGTACACAAAACTTCTCTCTTTGTAATCATGTTATTATGTTTTTTTCAAATATATGTTTTTGTATGTATACCTATGTATACCATACCTATGTGTATGTATATTGATGCTATTTATTATGAATCATTATAATACTTGTGTAAGTAACGGTAATTTTTATTTATTTTATTTATGTAGTAAACTACATAAATAAAATTTAATATACATACTTATATTTATTTTAGAGATAACTCCACTTTTGCTCGCCTTCTGTGAAATTTATATTTCTATTGTATTTATTTGGCGCAATAAAGAATATTACCAAAAAAAATACAGTCCAATTCATAACCTGGTTCTTTTTTAAACTTGGTTAAAATTATACATTCAATATTAACTGTGTGAATAAGGTTTAAAACATTTACACGCGATATCCGAATCTTCATCACATTTCACACGCTGTATTAGGTCTGAAATTTATCAAAATAAATCTAGTTTCTTTTAGGAAACGAGCTGAAAGATAATAATTACTTTCGAGTTAACAATAGATATACAAATCAAAAGCATAACGATGGAAGCACAGCGTAATTTGTATTATACCTTGTAATTATTCTTTGATTGCTATATTTTACTATGTAGGTAGTTCTGCGTGACAAAATTTTAAGAGGTGATGGATTTGGAAACATACTTTTACTCCAGGCAACCTCTATTCATCGGAAAAGGAAAATCAGCTGGTCAATACACCGTGGAAATATGTGTAAATTACAAGAAAAAAAATTTTTTTTTCCTAATAATAACTAAAATAATGTGCTAAACATCCACACCAATTACCTAGCCCTGCACTCCCATTCTCCATCTGACATCGTCAGATACAATTTTTTTTTACGCACACACTTAATATAGCCCCGCACCAGGGAAACCCTGTGTCGCGGGTGCCATGGACACACACATAGACTACCACAAATTGCACCCAACTCACGGGAGAAATAAATGTAGACCATACAAATATTTCTTCCGGCCTGGGAATCGAACCTGAGACCTCTGCGTGGCAGTCCGGATGGTAACCGTTTGGCCACGGAGGCAGTTACTTACTTACAATTACTGTCAAATAAGTAATAATCGACCAAATTAAAAGAAGCATGATGCAAATGACGGAAGCTTCATATGACATCCTTTCTCATCGTTCATACCTGTCTTAATTTAGTCGAGTATTATACTTATTTGACATTAATTGTTTCGGACAGACGTCGGACAGAGAACGAGAATCGACACTCAGATCATAAACTAGGAAATTCTATATGAGTACAAAAGCAACGGAATTCACTCCGGGACCCTACCCAGAACACTCAGACCAGAACTAATTCAGAAAAGTTTATTTCCCAAATTGATCTTACCAGTAATCGAACCAAAATCTTTTCAAAATCAGATCTTTGGTATTTAAAGCTCTGAGTGTTACTGCCACTGATATGAAACTACGTGTCGCTTACCACCAGGCTCACGATTTGTTCGTTCTGACACTTGGTAACATAAAAAAAATTAATTAAAGTCGTTCGTTCGGTCGTTAAGACCTCTTAGAACATCTTAGTTGCAAATTATTCTTTTTATTTTTTTTTCGAATAACTTTAATTAACACATTGTATGAATCTACCGTTTCAGTGTTACGCACATGAATATGATTAATATAAATATTTAATTTGGCTTGATTCTTCCGAACAAACCGAACGCCGTGAAAGTATTCTGTTTTGATTTTGTTGGTGGGTGTTTTGTTGCGTATTTCTTCGGCATTGTACTTTCCTGCGGTCCACTTATCATGTCTATCGGCGTAATTACACTATGAATTATGCAATACTATTGTTTACAAACATTGATCGCATTCCATTTTCGTTATTGTTACTTTACGTGTTATTACATAGAAACTTTTAATTTACAACAAGCGGTTTCTGCGCTGCGAAATTACATGTCCCCTCATCGACAAAAGACCAAACGTTTTCAATACGTCTAAATTACAATATCGAAAGTCACAACATCGATTCTCGTGATACCGAAAACGTTACATCAACTGGTCGGTCAATATACATATATTTATTATACAATTTTGTAACAAAACCCAAGAACTTCTTTTATTATTTTATGTAATGTTCGGCAAATTCGGCATGGTTACGTTATCAAGTATCTTCATTTAAAAAAATCACTCATGACATTTTTTTTTAACAACAATAAAACACATTTTTTTATGACAAAATGCATCGTAAGCCATCAAGGTGTACAAATGTTATGCACGTGAGTGCTCAACGGTTAGTTTGTTTTAAAACAAAAGGTAATTATAGGTGAGAATAATTACATTTGACTGACATGCATTGTAACAGGTCTTTGATTAATTAAATGGCGGAACCGATTATGTGGCGGAACCAAATGTTACATCGAATATGACTTAACAAAACGTATTTGTAAATGATAACAACCCGTAAAAAAAACATAATTATATCGAAAGAGAACCTCCTCCTTTTTTTTTAAGTTAAAAACAGGTCGTTTAGAACGGATTTTTTCAATAATAGTGACGGGGCGAATAAATCGAGCTTTAAATCGCAAAGATCTGAGGGATACTGCCTCAACGCCTGTCACCCACAAACATAACTTACCCTTACCCTTTAAAACCGGAACGCAGTAATACTCACATTACTGCTTGACCGCAGAAATAGGTAAGGTGGTAATACTTCTCTGGATAAACTACCCCACAAGGTGCTCTACTGCCACTAAGAAATTGTTCCGAGAGCTTTTAAAATATATATCAATATATATATATATATATATAATAATACAAATATATATATATATGTGTGTGTGTGTGTGAGTGTGTGTGTGTGTGTGTGTGTATATATATATATATACCTTTTAAAAAAGAAAGAAAAGAATAAATCAATTTTGTTGTCTGCCATAGACAACACAAAAAGATAAGTTTTTGTGTAGCTGTTTGGTTACTTATTTATCATTATACATTCGGTTTGCCTTTGGGCACCTTTACTCATGTGTCATAGACTAAAGACAATAAAAAATATGGTGTAACGATCCGAAGACATCTAACATTTCAAGGTATCAAACAAATTTTTGCTTATAATACTGATTAGTTTTCATGTTAAATATGAGTATTTATCCATGAAATACTTATAAAATTGCTATCATTGATTAATTTTATTACATATTCATTTAATTTATTTTTAATTTTATGAATTTAACAATAAATGTAATTTTATTTCTTTACTTATTACCACATACAATGTTACAAGAACAAAGAATTTGATGTAATAGTTAGTTCTCAAGAAATTGTAATTATAACTTT